ACCCATGGATCGTCAAGCAGAGCGGAGGATTCTGGCCTGGAAGCCTCAATAACCAAAAAACTTGTATTCCACAGGGTTGCATATTGTAACGAGTAAAGTGTGTAGAGTTATGTGTGTCGAATAGATCCCAAAATCGTGTTCTGACATTGAAGGACCCGTTAATGGTGGGATGTCAAACTTTTGTACACCATGTCACCAAGTTTCGGGGGATGGTACATTGCAGATGTCAGTTCCCCAACCCTGAACCCTAAACCCTAAACCGTGGCTCTTATTCAAACAGCCCCTTGGCCCGAAGCTCCACACCCTGCAATTACCGGAAGCCCGTGCGTCCCAGACCAACACTCCAAACTCATAGACACCAAGACCCTGAACCTCTCACTCGCCACCCCCAAAAACCCGAAATCCTGATTTCATAACCCCAAAACTTGGACTCAGCGTCCGATCGATAGTCACCATCCGAAGGAGAACCAGGGAGTTCTTGTGCAGGTTCGCAGGGCACCCCTTACTGCGGTTTTGGGTCTAGGGTTTACCTGTAAGCCTGATAAATCCCAAACTTCTTCATCCCTAAACGGCCTAAGCCCTACATCTCTCCTGAACAAAACCCTAAAGCCTAAACCCTAAACCCTCTTTGCCAGGATTCATTTCTCCAGTCGGGCTCTGCGTGCCACAGAACTGACAGATCGCCAGTCTTATGCTTAGCCATAGGCCCCATAGTAGTTCCTTTTGGGGGGTTCATATATGTGGGTTTCCGAAAATTCGGGGTACCTTATTTTGGGGGGTCCTTATATTAAGGATCCTACTATTTAGGGTACTACAGTATATTAGGGTCCCCTATTTTCCCAAACTCCCATATCGAATTCTATAAAGTAATCCCCAAAAGGAACTACTATGGGGCCTATGGGTAGTTTCGGATTGCCTGGGGTTTAGGCCTTGGGTTCTCAGTGCTTCTGCATTAACCATAGGCTCCATAGTTCCTTTTGAGGATTACCTTATAGGCTTCTGAATAGCAACCCCAAACAGGAACTACTATGGAGCCTCTAGGTATGCATCATGATGTTAATCACTGTGACATTGGAGGCCATCCATACTCATTGGTCAAGCTGGTGGTCAGTGCACGCCGTTCATCACTGCCAGAACGGTAGCAGTACGGCAAGAACTACGATGACTATAAGCATGAACGCCTACACACAAATACGCGGACGGCTCGTGATAGCCACACTGATGCCCGGTAATCTTGAGACTTGTGAACAGCAAAAGCAGCATTCAAATGCCACATCAGAGATTAGTATTACTTCTGATAGCAAAGAATATCATCACCAACCTGATACGCAGGAAAACAATACGAGCACGAAGATGACGGTGAATTGACGGCAACTGCAACAGTTCGCAAGTTTCAGGTTCAAGCTACATAACGGCACTTGCATTTCGGATCATTCCTGCATTTGCCTTTGGAAGCATTCTGAATCATAGCACCTGGCTGCTACAATCCAGCTATGCAAGTTCGCATGCTTCCTGACATGGACTTCATCATCAAACCTGCGCCCTGCACATCATCATCACCGCCCGCATCATCATGACCATCACCGCCGAAATAATAATAATAATAATAATAATAATAATAATAATGATAATAATAATGATAATAATAATAATAATAAGAAGAAGAATAAGAATAAGAATAAGAATAATAATGATGATAATAATAATAATAATGATAATAATAATAATAATAATAATAGTAATAATAATAATAATAGTAATAATAATAATCATAGTCATCATCATCATCACCGTCGTCGTCATCATCATCGCCACTTTCATCATCATCATCATCGTCATCAACGTCATCATCATCATTATCATCACCATACTCTTCTTCATCGTCGTCATGTCCAGATCGTCGCCGACCCCATCCAGGCAGCTAGTGTTGATTGGTTGGTCTGGCACACCGGCAGAATTTTTTCCCGCGATCATGACTACGTTCATGTTACTCATCCTCATCAGCTGGAACCTGATCATGCATCACTTAGCTCCGAAACCCTCTACCCTAAACCTTCAACCCCCTAAGCCCCAAACACCTTACACTCCCAAACCCTGACACCCTGAAAACCTGAACCCTAAACCCGGAACTCCTAAACCCCAGCAGAACTGCGTCAGCCGCGGCCTGCCCGTTCTGCCTCGCCGCTGAGGCAGCGCTGCAGCGAGGGCCGCAGCTGCCCTTGGAGTAATTTTAGGATCGCCGTACAGGAAGTTGCTTCGCAACATTTGCTTGACCCCTAGAGAATAGGGCTTCGGGGGTAATATTTACATATGTACGTATACATATACATACATACATATATATATATATATATATATATATACACACACTTTGTTTAATTGCAACAGGGAGCCCTAATCTGTTCAGGCTGCTATACCTAACCGTACACCCGTATGGTAACCCTGATAGCAACCCTTATAGGCACCTTTAAAGTAACCCTTTCAGGCCGCCCTTATAGACCCTCGCCTTTATACTAAGCCATTGGGGTCAGGGTGCAGCCCCGTCTGCCACGGAAGCTGGCGGCAGTCTCGAGGAAGCGATCTCGCCTGTGTGATGTTCTTGGGCGAGGGATTCCTTAATATGAACCGTATTATGGGAACCCTAATCCCTACTAAACCCCCATAGGCGTGCCTCTGGGGCTGCGAGATACCAGGAACTCAAGACTCGCACAATAAAAGCCGTGTGAAGCCTTCGACTAGCCCTGAACCCTAAACCTTAAACCCTTAAATATAGGTCAATGAGAACGTGATGGGGGAGTCGAGGTGAAGTTGGGGATGGTGTTGGTGGTGGTGGTGGAGGTGGCGGTTGTGGTGGTGGCCTCAGAGTCATCCGGAAATTGCAAAAGCCGCCAGCCCCCCTTAAGTTGCAGCATCTTGCCTTGCGCAGGCCTTGCCACTCCCTGAAACAACTCCAGTCAAATCTCCACAAAGAAATGAAAGCTCATCGTGCTATGCCCCGATAGACCCTGCACTCTACACCCTCAACCTCAAAGTGGCCACGCTAGGGACGCGAACAAAAACTGTACTTTTGAAAGAACCCCTGCATGAGGGCTGTGTTCGGTGGCTCGTGCCTGGCAGAGCCGTGGTGGTGCAGCCGCATGCTGCGCCAGTGCGGGCGTCAAAGAGAGAGCCATGAAGGACAGTTTGGCGCACCCGCAGGGTGGGAGTATCTATATACAAAGCCTAAACCCTACGCACTCTACCGCATAGGACGTACTTAAGCCCCAGTGGCATTGCAACGCAAAAGGCCAAGCGGGCGCTCTTGTTTTTGCCTACTCTACTTTGACTTACGAGTACGAGGTGTTGCACCCTATCAGGGGCAGTGCCTAAGGCTACTTTTGAAAGGTTTCGTGTTTGGGGTCCAGGCTCAAGTACGTATGAGTTCCTTGGCTCATGCTCATTTATTCTGCACGATATGCACTGACCCGTCCGTCATGCGGCTGTCTGCTTTGTACAGATTTTCACTCCCTTCGATTTGCTCTCGAATGCCTCGGGGGTGGGTACTGAGCCTTGTAGCTTTAAGGCTTAGAGGCTTATAGTGTTGGCATGTAAGATGTACGAAAGCTCACAGAGCTTTCCATATGTCACCTTGAGCTGAAGCTTGTTGGCACGTAACAGTGGCTTGATCGCAACGTACACATGCCTTTACAGGTGCTAGATCTGCAGTTTTCTCAAAACCCTTTACCCAGAACCCAATACCCCTAATGTAGGGGTGCTGATAATTGGAGTAGGGTTTTGGGGGATAATATACTATAATAATTGTAATAGGGAGCCCCCAAAACCCCATTCTAATTAATAAGGCCCCAGAATACCAGTCCCAAAGCCCGCTAGTCCTCGAATCTGCACACCTCACGGAAGCTTTAAACCACCTCGACCCAGGCAAACAGATCGCTGAATGCTGTCCGGCATGCTGAAAAACAGCTCAATATGGCAACAAAAAGTCAACCTATGGAACAAACCCAACATGTTTTGGGCTTAGGGTTTGGTCTTTCAGAACTCCCCTGTTGGTCTAGAGGGTGCTGGTTACCTAGCTAGATATTCAGTGTTCGCATCCGGCGTTGGGAGTGTCTTGGGGGAACTTCAGGGTAGTGATCCGTGGCTGCACCTCGGTCGGTGTTATGTAGCAAGCCATAGCACACCCAGAGACTACTCAATATGTGCACCCGAAAGTTGGAGAGCTCGATGCAATCTTATCCTTGTGTCGCGTAAAGACAAGAACCATCATGCCCCCCCCAAAAAAAACTCTAAAGGTTATTGAAAAAATCAGCACTGAAACATCACACTATCCTGCGATCAGTCTATGCTCCCTTTGCTCCTTACAACTGCCACAAACGCTAGAAACTGCACTCGCTTTAGCAAATAACCCCAGTTACTACGTCCCATGATCCTCTAAGTATTCTCCAGGCATCCAAATCTTCAGTCCTACAGTCCCACAGCCACAACACTCAGAACCCCGCAAGGTACGCTAAGCACCACAGCGGCCAATTCTCAATAGTCCACAACCAAAAAATAGAGAGTGCGCCCGCTAGCGCCTAAGAGATACCAAAATCCGAACTGCACATTTACGTTTTAGAGCTTAACACAACAGAAGGAACCTCACTGCATGATCACACTGAGCAAACGACATGACCACACCATCAGCTTTGAGCACAGCCAAGCCAAAGAAACCTACAAGCCTAAACCCTCCCTGACTCCTGCAGGATTGTCCCAACAAAAACATATCTCGACCACTCCGGAAGCTGACAGGTATCCAGGCAAGTTCTGCGTAGTGGACTTTGCAGTTGGACATCCTTCTTATACGGATTACAGTGGCGCTCAGACAGAAGGGACTATACTCTACCACTGTAAGCCCTTAACCCTAGTCCATGAAGCCTGTCATTCCGAATAAGGCTTAGGGTTTAGGGCTTAGGGTCATTATGCGCCCACTTCAAACCCGCAAAACATCAGAAGCATGATCTGGCCTTCGTCGCGGAGACCAAGCACAGCGCAGAAGCTGCGGGGATGGTTCGAGGTGCCTGACAAAAAAACAGGCCTTAATACTAGGAATCGAGTTTAGGAATTGTCGGGCAAATTTAGGGGATATATCATACTATGTACATTTAGATTAAGGAACCCTCGGCTAAGTTGCGAAGCATGAGCGAATTTGCCATGGCTGGCCTTACAATGCGTTCGAGTGCTCGGTTTACTCTAACCTTTTGCTTTCCTTTTATCGGCTGGAATGCGATAGGTGAACTGACAAACGACCTCATGACCTCTGCTTGGAAGCATCGTGGAGAATGACCTGGCAAATTCACAGGATCTCCCGCAACTCGCTTAGACGTGAACTCAACATGGGTGGTTGTCAAAATCAGGGTCCCTTTTCGGGTCCTTATAACGGCGCCTAATATTTAGGGTACCCAAAAAGGGACCATAATCATAGTCACTGAGTTCATAAGTCCCCAAAAGTGTACACTTTCTGTTGTATAGTATTCACTCAGCTACTAGGTAATTTTGACAACCACCCACGTGAAATCAACATGCTAGAGATGGGAGGCTCCGACTTCGTGACTTGCGGCGCGTGAAGACGGGATCGACAGTTTTGCAAAAGCCAGTGTCAGTTGCGAGCACCCGAGAAAGCCCCCACCCCAAAACTGCAACCGCTGAAACCCAACAGCTCTAAACTCCATCAGCTGAGCCCCGTATACTGCATACCCACTCCTAGGAGATGGAGCGCCCCACCCTTCACATGCAAAGAAAGCCTCTTGATCCCGAACAAAACCGCTACCCTCTAAAGCCCTAAACTCTAAACCCTAAACCATCTAAAGCCCCAAACCCTCTAAAAGCCTAAACCCTGAAACCTAAACTCTAAACCGTAAACCCTCTAAATCCCTCAATCCCCTAAACCCTAAACTCCAAACCCTAAACCCTCTAAAGCCCTAAACCCACCTGAGCCTCGTGAAGTCGTCTCCTGAGGCCGCTGGCTGCTTTAGGCCCCGATGCTATAGTACCCTTATAGATCCCTGGTAGACCCAAAAAGGGAGCTCTATAGGTAATTATTATGAGGCCCCTATGTTATAGTACCTGGACCCTCCATCTACCCTCTATTAGACCCTATATGCCCCTTATTTGGGACCATATACCCCTATTTGAGGGTACAAGAACGGTCCTGGTACCCTTATAGCTCCCTGGTAGACCCCAAAAAGGGAACTCTATAGGTAATTATGGTAAGGCCCCCATAATAACGTTCGTATTAAACCCTCTGAGCCTCGTCAAGTCGTCTCCTTGGGCCGCTGGCTGCAGGATGTTCTCGCAGGCGCGGCCAGCCGGGCTGGAGATGAAGCGCCATCCGAAGCGAAGCGGATCAGGACGTTTAAGGGGGCTTAGGGCTTAGGGCCTATAGGGTCTATAGGGCTTAGGGCTTATAGGGTCTATAGGTTGTTAGGGCTTAGGGCTCAGGGTCTGTAGGGCTTAGGGCTTATAGGGTCTATAGGTTGTTAGGGCTTAGGGCTCAGGGTCTATAGGGCTTAGGGTTTAGGGTGTTTGAAGGGGTTCAGGGTTTAGGATTTTGAGGGCCCGGGGGTTCTATCAGCGTTCAACAGGGGTTGTTCGAGGGCTTCTTCAAGTACACGGGTTGTACAAGGGAGATGGGGTAGAGGGTGTTCCGGCTTCTTTTTTTTGAGCTCCTTTTTCCGCCTAAGGTACAATCCGGCTTCGGGGGATCAGGGTTTAGGAAAATAGTGATTATAATTACTGTTGGGGTCGCAATAGTTTTGTGCAAACATCGTGCTATGGACGGCCTGTTGTGGTAGCGGAGTGGTAATGGATCGGGAATTACCATGGGTTGCTGAAGTTGCTATCATGGCGTTGCCACGCATCGCCGACTTGAGTTCTTCGAAACTTGTTCGAGCACGGAGTCCAGTGCCTCGCGATTTTACGGCTCTTTGCCCAGGGCTTGGGATGTCAGGTTTACGATTAATAAAGGGGCCTTAATAATCACCTATATACACTATTTTGGGGGTTCCTTGTTATAGTGATAATACAATGGGCCCCAAAACCCTATTCGAATTATTAAGGCCCCTCTGTTAGGATTTTTAAGTTACGGTTCAGGCGCTTAGCAGTTGGACTTGCAGCATAGCAACTTAGCATTGAGGATTCATGACATCCTACTCCGAAAGCCGCTGTTTTTTCGCCATCAGACGATAATCAGCAGCTCCAAGTGACAGTCCCATAAGCTGTTAGCAATATAGGGCCTAAGTAATGAGACAAGGGTTCGGGGGCCCACTGAACCATAATTATGATAAGGAACCCCCAACATAGTACAGGAAATTGCTTAAGCCCCTTTTCCTCAATCATTATAGTAGCCCTTGCAGCAGCCGTTATAGACCTCTTTAAAAGAAACCAGCGACGCCTTCCTAGGCACTGTTAACCTGGTGGGCGGTGCGTGGGAACTACAATGGAGACTATAGGTAGTAATGCGGTACCTAGGCGACTTGGGCAAGCCTCTAACATAGACGGCATGGCAATCATCCGGGAGCGATATAATCACGGATGCAGGACCCAGCGGAACCCTAAACCCTGGACTCTAGACTCTAGACCCTGAATGTAGACCCTAGACCCTAACCTGACCTGAGCCAGATATCGGATCGGACAGAAGCCCCTAAACTCTAAAACCCTGAACCCTGAACCCTAAACCCTAAACCCCTAAACCCTAAAAGATACACTTCGAGCCCCCAAGCTCAGCAGTCCAGCGCTGAAGTCCGAAACATCAAAATCTTTCGAGTTTAGGGTTAAGGGTTTGTAGGGGTTAAGGGTGCAAGAATTTATAAGGGTTTACGTAGGGTTAAGGATTCACAAGGGTTTAGGGCTTGAGGTGTAGAGTTTAGGGCTTATGGCTTACGGTTTGGCGTTTACGGGACGCAGGATTCAAGGTTTAGGGGCTTTAACGGCTTTTGGTGAAGGGTTTATGGTTTCAAGTGAGTGTGGTCAAAGAATCGGATGACCCCAAAATCACATCAGCGCTGTAACCCCAAAACGGCTTCTTCAGGGCTGCTTAGGGTTCACGCTTTCCCATACAAAACCAAGCCCCAAATCCTGAACCAGCTCTTTTGAGCATTATTTGCCTGAGTCGGAAGGGGCAAAACGCACGCTGTACAAGCGTCGTGCGAGGCGCTAATTCGACTTCGGACGAGCCACAACCCATGTCGAGTCTAAACTCGAAAAAAGCATATTATGCAACCGTATAATCATCAACGCGTGACCTTCCACCTGTGAAGCAACTCCTCGTTGGCATGATGCCCGTGCGGCTGAGTTTGTCAAGGGAGCCGCTTGCCAAGTTTAGAGCTGGAGGCTTCAATAAGCTAAGTTTCAAGGGTTCGTTTTTTTTTTCTTTTTTCTTTTTTTTTGTCGCTCTTTTTCTCCAGCTCAAGGGTTCGGGTTAAGGGTTTAGGGCCACCCAGGGAGGGACTCCAGCATGCTGGTGTTTCGGGTTTAGGGGGTTTAGGGGGTTTAGGGGGTTTAGGCTTTAGGGTTTAGGGTTTAGGCTTTAGGGTTTAGGGTTTAGGGGGTTTAGGGTTTAGGGGGTTTAGGGTTTAGGGTTTAGGGGGTTTAGGGTTTAGGGCTTAATTAGGGGGCTTAGGGTTTAGGGCTTAGGGTCTGGACCTTGGGAAGCCTCTGGACCTTGGGAAGCTCGTACAAACCGTACCACACCCTAATAGACCGTCAGAGCTTGGCGACGCCTAATGTCTGTAGCTTCCGTGATCTTAACATGCCGAAGTAACCCTATGACCCCGAACCCTACGCATCCATCGCCTCTTCCTGATCCTGAGACTCTTTCCCCCAAAGCCCTAATACCCCATGAACCCCTAGACTCCATTCCGTCCTATACCCTCCACCTCTGCCTCCAACCCAAAATGGCTTGAACTGTCGCTGTCTTCCAATTACCCAGAGACCCCAATATTCGGTAATTAGGGGGAATATATGCCTTAAACCATGTTTGGGATCCTACTATAATTTGATTAGGTATATTCCTTAATTAAGGGATATTGGAGTCTCTGCCTGAAGGACCAAATGACCCTCAAAAGTAGGGGTCCCATATCCATATACTGGTACTACGGGTACTGCGGTTGCTTGAGCCTGCGCAAGGCTCACCTAGTCGGGGTCCCGTCTTTCGGGGCCAGGGGTTGGAACTCTCGTTTAGGGTTTAGGGTTTTTAGGGTTGAGGGTGTTTAGGGTTTTTAGGGTTTAGGGTTTTTAGGGTTTCCAGGGTTTAGGGTTTAGGGTGTTGCTTACCTTAGTGTTCAAGGTTCTCGGCTTTGTGGGGTGCAGCACGCTCCGGGTCTGGCTCCCATTACTGCGCTGTCGACAACCCAGACCTTCAGGGCGAAATAAACCCTAAAAGGGTTTGAGGTTCATATACAATTATAGGGATTCATAGTATATGGGTATAGGGCCCCTACTTTTAAGGGTCATTTGGTCCTTCAGGGAAGCATGAGAGTTGCTTCATCCAGCGTACCTCAGGCAGGCCAATCAGTGGGCGCTACCAGCACTAGCTGAAACCCGTGTTTTTTCGAGGGAGCCAAGCAAAAACCTGGGTTTAGGGTGTTTATATACGGTATATTGAGTCTATTTAAACTTTATGACACGTTTGCAGGCTTTCTGCCAAATCAATAGCTTAACCTAAGTGATCGTTGTTCAGGCAGATACTTGAGTCCTTTCGTGTATTAGTCTCCCTATCATTGTTCTCATCATCAAAGTGTTAAAGCTACCATTTTGCCTGCTGTTGCTCTAGTTCGACAACTGCTACCACCGAATTGTCCCTTAAACCTAAACCCTAAATATCAATACACTGCAGCAGCTCTTGCCGGTAAAGTCTGTTCCGAAGAGCCTTGCTACGATGAGCGTCAAGGCGGTATTCCCTTTAAAAAGCTCTACGTTTGGGCCTGAAGGTTGGCCCCAAATCCTATAGTAGAAGCCAGAAAGTTGGAACATGGATTTAGGAGGATTAGTGCTAGGATCCCTTATGCTTTACCTTAAGGCCTTAAGGGCATGGGGATAATGATGTTCCAACTTTCTGGCTTCTACTGTAAATGTTACTAAGCCCTAACGAGCCGGCGAAGAAGTGCAGCACCAGAAACTACGGTACCGAGCGTGAATCGTGATTGACTACGCAGTGTCCATGAGCGTCAGTCGGTCGTCGGGACGGGTGTAGCAAGGGAACCCATACGGTTGGTTGTCAAAACCAGGGTCCCTTTTTGGGTACCCTAAAGAGAAGGGTCCGAACTATTTTAGGGACTCGAAAAGGGACCCTAATTTTGACAACTACCCATACCGAAGATTGAACCCCAAGCGCTGCAAAGGCAATAAACCAAAGCCCTGAACCAGATGTCATTTGATCTGAATCCTTGAAAAAAACCGAATGAAGGCTGTCCGAAATGATGCCCCCTCTTCGGGCTCTGATGAAAAGCAGACTCATATTCAACGGTACACTAAAACAGATACAGTACCCAAAATTGAACCAATAGAACAAATCGTTTTCCTAGAAGTCCCCGCAAGACACAACCTGTTTAACGGTTTAAAGCGCAACCCTAAACCCTAAACACTTGAACCAGAAACCGTCCCTAAACCCCCCTAAACCCTAAACCCTAAACCCTAGACCCTAAACCCTAAACCCTAAACCCTAAACCCGAAAGCCATCTGCGGAGCCTCAGAGTGCGCGGAGGCATTGGCCAAGTCAGACTACTCCTCGCATGACTCAAGCCCCGAGTATACACCCAGAGACTCTTCCTTAGGGTTCCTTAAAGGGATCTATAGGGTTCCTTTAAGGGATCTATATATAGGGTTTAGGGGACTCCAATATCCCTTATTTAAGGAATATACCTTAAATTATAGTAGGATCTTTAATATGGATTTAAGGTATATTCCCTAATTAAGGAGTATTGGAGTCTCTGGGCACTCCAAGCACGAATTAGGGTCTAAGGATGTCGGCTCAGGGCTAACTTACCTTTGGTTAGTAGGGAATGGAGGAATGGGGTACAATTATACCTACGATTACTACCATTCATCCATTCCCTACTAGCCAAAGGTAAGCTAAGCACCTGCACGCAGCACCAAAATCTGAGGCCGTGAAGTCATTGTAGGTCGCTTGGGCCTGTACAGGTACGCCTTTTAATTTAGCCTAGCCTAGGGGCCTGTTGGGCAGGCTTCGTACCCCGCCTAGGCCTAGGGCCTAAACCCTAAACCCTGAACCCTAAACCCCTAAATCCCTAAAGCCTAAACCCCAAACCCTAAACCCTACGGCCCTGCAGCCCTTCAAGCCAAGCACAATAATTTAGCGTCTTACCGACCGCCTCCGACATCAATCTGCACAACATCCCGGCGGACGATCATTCGAAGACCCCGCCCCCAGCCGCCCCTCAAAGAAGGCTTGGTAAGCACAAAGTGGCGGCTCTCAAGGCACCTTGTCCAGGTCGATATCTTGTGCGAGTGGTCCTCGCAGAACCACCTGAGCCGCACTGTCAGACTGAATGATCGAGGTTCAGGGCCAATCGCGGAGCAGTCGCAAGTTACATGTCGTGTCACGGGTCCACGGCCTCGCATAATGTGTCCTAGTGGTGGGCTGTCAGACCCCTGACTTCAGTTCCTTCGTGTCTTATCATATATATATATATGGCTACAGCAAGTACAGTGTGCTACGTTGCGGTGCAACGTGACTTGGATGACGCGAGTCTTTGGCAGATTGGTCCTCTTCCGGTGGGCAAAAATGCGGCACCCTCAACACCTGCAAGCGCTGAGCCCTGAAACCCTAAACCCTCAAACGCTAAACCCAGAAGCCCCAACCCCAAAACTTTAGACCCTATAAGCTCCTGAATTCTAGGAGGCTGAGCCCGAACCCCTAAACCAAAATTATTCTGGTAGTGCAAAACAGGACCTCCACCCCCGCCGCTCCCCACGGCACAGAGTCTGGCTTGCTTTTCAACCTTGAATTTTGCGGGAGGGTGGGGGGGGGGGGGCCGTCTGTAAGGACATTCACATTTTCCATGTTCTCAACACTTGGAATCATATTCGGGGCGCAGAGGACGCACCTAGATGTACGGGAACGACGTAACGTAGAACTGTCTTCAACCTCCAAACTAAGGGAGAGTCAGCCATTAGTCACTGGTGTCGGTAATGTGTGGATGCTTGTGTATAGAATATCACTACGACTATTAGTAATAACAATAGCTATGATCATCATCAGTATTATGATTGATGACTAGTATTGCTATGAAATTACAATAAAGGTAGTATCGGATTTAATTGAACCCTTATGATGAAGTGTGTGTTTTGCTTTAGTCTAGCTCAATCACCTAAAACCAGGGTTGCGATTGAGGCGCCGATGTTTGAAAGAAGCTTACTAGAATCAAGACCTCCCAGGCAAAAGCACAACAGCAACGACTTACAAAACCACGTAAGCCGCTCCACCGAAATCCAACCAAGCCTTCTACAACCCTTCCCGAAAAATTGTAGCATTCAGATGACAAGACTAATTCCTAAATCCTGAACCCCGAACTCTTAACCCTAAGCTATAAAAACTTAAATCCTATACCCTCCCCAACCTGGTCGGCGACTGGTCTCGGCGGGGAGCGTAGCGTCTCCTAGGCAATGAACTGTGTTGTGCGGCGGGGAGGTGGCTTATACCATAATCGTCCCCCAAAGCCATATTCAAAATCGTTCAGGCCGCTTTACCAGACCCGATAACGCTCTACGGTAGCGATTCAGGTCCCGCAACCCGTACAACCACTTCCGAGCAGGATATTTCAAGAGCAATTGTCCGGCTCTAGGCCGTCTTAACCATATTCCTAGCCCTAAACCCCAAACCCTGACCCTCAACCCTAAACCTTCAACCCTAATCCATGCCGAAATGCCACGGGTGGAACAGCAAGCCCAGCTGGGCGAGTGGCGACCTCCCCACACAGAGCGAGGGCTTGCAGCTAGGAAGCATCGGGAGACTTTAACTATAGCGGGCAATGTGTGTGAAAAAAGAGATACATAATATATATATATATATATATATATATATATATATATATATGCACGCTGAGGGTCACAAGGGTTTCCGCGGTTTCATGTTTAAAGTTTGGGAATCGAGCGCTTTCAAGCTTTGGGGTGTCCTTGCGATTGTCTACTATTGATCCTGCCCTTGAAAGGATACACAAACCCCCAACCTCTCCAAAATCACAACTAACTACAGTCTCCACTGTAGTTCCTTGCTTTGATTTAACGCATTTTACAAGGATCCTTTAATAAGAAGCCCTAACCCCCCCCCCCCTTATAGAAACCTTATAGATCCCTTTAAAGGTAACCCCAAAACGGAACTACAATGGAGACTACAACTATTACGGAACCTACGGACCCCTTCAAGACCCTGAAGAGCCCCACAGGAAGCTTCAGGTTAACCCTTACGAACTATATTGATATGAACATTACTGTTCTTGTTATTACGAGTATTCGTGTTGTCATTATTATTGCTATTCTTATTGTTATCCGTACTATCATTCTCAGTTGTTTATCAATATCACTATTGCTGTTATTGTTGTTGTTGTGGGCGGAGAGTTTTAGACAGAGAACTGCTGCAAAGTCAAGAACCTCCTACGTGCGACAAGGCCTGGTCGGTCAGAGGCAGCGGGTGATGCAGAGTTTCCTCCGCCGCCGAAATGATCTCGGCCGGACAGCAAATGTCTGGAGGCTTCTGCGTTAGGCTTAGCCCTAAACCCTAAACTCTCCAAGCCCTACAAATTAAAATCACAGGCAGGAGACCCTGGACTGTAGGACGTAACGGTGCGGCTTGAGGAGTAGAAGATTTCAGGCAAAGGGCTGTAAGATTTCATGAACCACTAGGGGACGTCGACGGCTGATCCTACACCTGACGCATAGCAGCAAAATTTAGACGAAGCATTTTCCCGTGTAATTCGCATGTGCCTGCATATGTAGATATGTATATGTGAACATGTATGTATATATGCGTGTATATACAAGTGAATAACATATATATATATATATATATATATATGCAATGTATGCAAGTATGAAAGTGTGTAAGTATGTGGACATGTAGGACTTAGGACTGTATGTATGTATGTATGTATGTATGTATGTATGTATGTATGTGTATGCGTGTATGTGTATGTATGTAGGTATGTAGGTATGCATGTATGTTTGCACTTTTCCTTTTACTTGTTCATTTATTGCAGTCTGACATCCCCCAAAGCCCTCTCTTCGTTGTAAGTATCAAGGCGCCTACATTCCACTCCCCAATGCCGCCGGAACGCGGCAGGAGACTACAAGCACAAAACAGGAACTAAAGCGAGAAGGGAAAGCCCTCGGGGCTTGAAAATTGAGGGTGCTGCGGCTTCGGGCTTTAGGATCTTGGGTCATAGCAACTGGTGTTTCCAGGGATGCAGGGGCCGCAGGGGTCCAGGAAAAGATGATGTTGGGAGCTTCTTTGTGAGTCTTCGGTGGAATCCGTCTCAGACTTCTGGTCTCTTGCGCCACACGGCTCGCATTCTTGCTGGTTACCTAGAGGCTCCATAGTTTTTCCTTTTTGGGGCTCAGACGTAATCCCCAAAAGGAACTACTATGGAGCCTATGGGTAAGGATTTTGAAAATGTATGCCATCTCCTTGCCTTTCCCGACTTCTCTGAGCGCTTCAGCCACCAGAAGCCCCCTCCACACTGGAGCCCTGGCACCCTGGAAATGACTAGCCATAGGCTCCATAGTAGTTCCTTTTTGGGGTTCATATATAGAATTCTATAAGGTAATCCCAAAAAGGAACTACCACGGGGCCTATGGATAGCTCCAGTAAACCACTGCCCACACCCTTCGCAAGCGCAGGGGAAGTTCGGAACTTCCAGGAACCCCGCTGCGGCTAGCCCCGACGACGGCATCGCCGGCTTCCCCGGCGGCACCGGGGCACTTGGCGGCACCTCCCGTCAGTGAGGGAGATTGAGGACTTAAGCCCGGGTCGAAACTGAGATGTGTAGAGTTTAGCGCCAGGTAGCATGAAAGGGATACCAAAGCTCTGTAATAATCTGCCTTGAAGTGTCTCCTGCGCAGCACTTTTCGAGATTTCATAGCGCAGACGCTACGGTACGAGATCACACCATCTTACTGTGGTAGCACAATAGCTTTTAAGTTGCATGCTCACATCATGCCATGAAGAACACACACACACACACACACACACACACACACACACACACACACACACACACACACACACACACACACACACACACACCGTCTACGTAGCTTGCAAACCACAGCCTGGTAACAATTATGGTGGCGTGTAGATAGCATATTTACGCTTTGCTAGCAATGATTTTAACACAATCTGCACAATTCATCCCCTAATCCTAAGACCGTAAAGCTTAACTCCCCAAACGTACACCCTAAACGCGAAAAAGCCAAAGATATAATAGAAAAAACCAAAACTCCAGATTGTAACTGCGTAGGCCTTTATGTTTCCGCCTGAACCCCAAACCCGTAACACCTGAACTATAACTCCGCGCCTCCAGTCGCGCTACTGTTAGGCTGGAGCGCAGCAAGGCCTTGCTCTGCTTAAAGCTTGTTCTGGTTAAAGGATCAGGCTTAGAGAAGTCCTAAGTGTGGTTGCCCGAGCAATTTTGGCGTGATATATGTTATTATATACAGATATGTATGTATAAATCTACTTACGAAGTCCCTGGCATTTCCGTGCCCTGAAAGGGCCTGTAGTTTATAGGAGTGCAGGATTCAAGGCTTGAGATTTGAGGACTCCACGTTAAAGGCTTCAAAGTGCTCGGCACGTGGATTTTGGGCGTTGGAAGGCGTATGCCTAGAGGCTCCATAGTAGTTCCGTTTTGGGGTTCATATTCAGAATCCTAATTATAAGGTAATCCCAAAAAGGAACTACCATGGAGCCTATATGGGTAAGGTGTAAGATTCAGGCATTGTGAATTGAGGCCGTGCTGGTCATGGTAGGGGGGCCTTAGTTTTGATGAGCTGTTGCGGACCTGCTTTCCATGACTAGGATACCCAGTAACCTAAGAATAAAAAGGCCTCTCTTTCTGGTATTGGGTAACTTTATAAGGAACCTAGGACTACAAAAAAGGAATAAGGGCACTGCTGGGCATCCTAGATGACAGTGCGGGCTACCCCAAACCCTAAACGCGCCATCCCCCGAGGAACCGTTCGACAATCGGGACGGAATTGGTAGTTGAGTGAGTGCAGTTCAGGAAATATGTTAGCAAATCCTTCCTTTGCCGACAGAGACCGGCAACAGGCCTGAGCCCTTAAAGGAAACCTTTTCGGCCCTATACCTGCTCAAATCAAAGGGCCGAGTTATGCAACAGCACCTTAGTTGCTGAGTTCATAAGCCCCAAAAAAGTGTACACTCTTGGTTTTATAGTGGGTGATATTATCCCCAAAAAGTGTAAAGTGTGCCCACTCAGCTACTAAGGCACGGACCAGACTGGGTTCTGTTTGTTCAAGGCCCCAAAACCAACCTCAACTCCTAAACTCACGGTTTAGGGTTAGGGTTTAGGGTTTAGGGTTTAGGGTTAGGGTTTAGGGTTTAAACTCCAAAACCGTACATCCCAACACATCAACTGCCCCATACATAAAGCCCTGAACCCCAAGAGCCGAAAAGCTGCACCCAGAAATTCGAAGCCTCCAACAATCCCACCCCCTTGTACCCTGAACGACTTCAAACCAAGCCCTCTGCCCTAAATTCCATTCCAACCCTCACGGACGTTGAAGAACCCTTGAAGAACTCGAAACCCTACCCTCAACGCTCCAAATTTGACTGAGAAGCCGATACAACCCCCTTTTATCGAACCCTTAAGACGTACGAACCCTTTGGAACCCATGCGAAGGCACCTGCTGCTCGTAGATCACACCCTCTGAAGCCCTCTAAGAACCCTTGTAAATATGGATCGGATAACCAACCCCAAGAAACCACAGCAGCAAGCAAAGCACGGCAGGCATTCTTTCGCGCAAGGCTAGCAACGTTGCTTCGAGAGTCGAGCGGGGCCGGGTTCCACAGGCTTGTCGAGGCTTCTGTGCACACACGACACTCGCCGCAGAAAGTCAATGCACATGCCCTCATGGTCTGATCTTCACATCGGAACTAAAAAGTGTTGACTTTCCAGCGATCTGCCTGAGTTTGATCTTCCGGTGCTCCCGCTGAGCCTTCCTAAGGAGGGCTCTTCGCTCCTCTTCAACTGCATCTTCGGCTGATTGCTTCACATTCAGCCTGCCATCCTTCTTGAAGCGACTGTACAAAAGGTCTTCCATAGGCTTGGTCAGACAGTCGCCGTATTGCCGCCATGTTGGCACCCAGTGCAAGGAGGCTAGCTTTTCCTGAATCATTTGGCGTATCCCTAAAATGTCTAGGGAAGTCTGGCGCTCAGTGGCAAGCAGATTCGAGCCGTGTATATGATCAAACAAGCTTCGAGCGTCCGTCACTAAATGTCCTCTTGAACGGATCTCTTGGCGCCAGCTTGAAGAAATAGTCACGGCTCCGTGGTAGAGAGCCTCCCACAGTTTTAGATTGTAGATCAGGCGATCTGAGCTCGAAGACATAGAGCAGCACTCCGCGGCCATGGAGCTCCGGACCACGCGGCTGATCTTGTTGCTGTGGAATTCGAGCAAGTTGCCCAAGCCGCTGGTGTCCAAAACGCCCGGCTCCACTAGGAAGTGAGCCTCTCCTCGCTGAGCTGCCAAGCTGCCGTCACTGCCCAAGGAAGCGTCGAAGAAGGTCACCAGTTCTGGGCTGCCAGAGAGGCGGCGGATCTTCAGCCTCGCCTTCCCTTCACTAGCCAGGGCCTTCAAAGACCTCAGCAGCTTGTTGGCCTCGCCGAGGTCACTCCAGGTTGCTCGGCTGACCCGCTGGGCTAGGAAGCTCACTTGACAAAGCATCTCTGGAGCCACGAGGTGAATGGGCCAGCGCAGCTGGGCAATCAGGCGCCTGAACTCCTTCAAGCCACCGGCGTCGAGTGCTTCAGTTCCCCTGCCCTTCTGGATTGCCTCCTTCAGGTCGAAGACATAGTCCGTCATGTCGTTCACCAGGAGGCCACCCTCGAAGAAAATCTTCATCCCCAGGTAGGCGGCAGGTTTTTCTCCGATCTCGATCCATTCCTTGATGGAGAAGCGCTCGTCAATGGCCTTCTTGGTGGCGTGGGTCTCCGCACCATCCTCCACAGCCAGGAAGCCATCGTCCACGTGCAGGCAGAGGATGGCAACTGTAACCATCACCCCCTTTCTCTTCTTAATCTTCACGAAAGTAGCTGGGGCAAACGGCACCTCCACAAAGCCACAGGCAACAAGAAGGTCACGAGCTTGAAGGTACCACAGCCGAGGAGCCTCTGCCAAGCCGTAGGCACTTTTCAGGATTCGCCACAGGACAGAAGCGTCCACACAGCGCAGGTCCGAAGGTGGGCGGCAAAACAAGTGCCGATCCACACTCTTGCCGGAGAGGAAGGCCGTCGAGACGTCAAACAACAAGCACCGCCACTGCCTTTGGAGAGCTATGGTCATGGCCATCCTCACCGCCGTCATCGTTGTGGTCGGGCTGTCTGTCCGAAGGTCGCCGCCGAGCACATCAGGATCCATGTGGCCCGGCAGTACGATGCGGGACTTGGCCAGTAGCTCTTTGGATCCCGCGGTGGCCTTGTTGGTTCGTACCACTCTGGCTGGCACCTTGAAGATCCGGGCTCGTGGAACCTTGCTGGCCTCAGACGGGGTGAGCTGCTGGATGACGTTGTTGTCCAGCCAAGCTTGCCACTCTTTCTGGTCCGACTTGTCAAAGGCGGCCCGCTCAGATCCATCAAAGAACTTTGGGTCCAGCTCCTTGCCGTTCGCCTTCATCTTGAGGATAAAGGCCTCGGTCTTCAGGACGCCCGCGGCAATGTCCCCAAAAGCAGCTTGCATCACCTCCTCGTTTGGCACCGTCACCTGGAACACCTGGTTGGCCGAGGCAACATAAATCCTTTCACCTTGCCCTGCCTTTCGAAGTCGACGGCGATGCTCCTTGAGCTCGCCCTTTCTCAGGTGTGCCCGGTTGGGGTCGTAAAAGAAGGTGGCTCCCCGCCAAAGGTGCGGGCACTTGTGGCGAGGACGTTTTGCAACCTCGTCTGGGTTCTCCTCGGCGATCATCACCTGCTTGGGGTCCTCGCCAACCATCACCGTCACACGGTGGCGACGCCAACGTGGTCCAGGGTTCTGCAGTCTTTTCCGGGGCGCACGGTGGAACCTAGCAGCCGTCAAAGGCATGTCCAGCAGTTCGGCCAGCTTTCGCACCTGCCCTCGAGGAAGCCATTCATTCGCCAGTGCTTCCGGTTCTTGCTGCAGCTCCGGCTCCACAAGGGCGACCATGATGAAGTTGGCCATGTCATTGGAGCGCAGGCGCTTGGTGGAAACTTCCTGTGGCCCGTCCTCTTCAGCCTCAGCAAGCTTACGCTTCAGACCATACGGAACATCATCAAGAGGATCATAGCCTTCGTGGCGCTCCAGGGGTTGAGGTAAAGGCGCTTGATCCCACAAGTCCTGAAGGCTATCCGGCAACAAACTGTTGGGACTACCAGGTGGAGGTTGTTCTTGAAGTTCCGCGTCTTCTTGAAGTGGCTGTTCCGCAGAAGCCTGTTCAGCTACGGACCCTTCAGGTGGAGGTTGTTCTTGAAGTTCTGTGTCTTCTTGAAGTGGCTGTTCAGCAGGGTGCTGTGCCGGCTGCCTTCCGCGAACCCGTGCTCCAAGGAGGCGTCTCCGTCGGTTCTTTTCAAACGGAAGGCCCAAGGTTTTCTTGACTGACTTCAGACCCTGCATCATGCGACGGGCCTCGGTCATGCGACGGCCCATCCCATTGGGAGCTCGGCGAGGGCGAGGGCCAGCAACTTGTGGAACATAGGTCGCTTCCTCCTCTTCCGGTGGGGCCGGCTCCTCGGTCAGGTCAACAAAGCCCTTCTCGAGCTCAGCTTCCACCTCCTTTCTTCGCAGGTCCTGGTCCGCTGGCGTGTCGTAGCCTGCTCCCTTCAAGTTGGCCGTGGAAAGAAGCAAGCACCGTCCCCTCCACGACACAAAGTAGCGCTCTTGTCCCTCAGGAAGAATGACCACACCAGGGCCACGCCAGCAGCCAACATCACGGCGGTACCTGCCCTTATTGACCTTGGGGGACCAAAAGTAGACCAGCTCACCTGGCGCAAAAGCTCTACGTTCCCCAGCTGGTGCTCGTCGAAGGGCTCGCTTGATCTTATCCCGAATGTCGCCCCTTAGCAAGGCAACCTTGGCAGCCGATCTCATTTCCGACATACGGGCAACCTCCGAGTCAATGGAAAGAGCATGCCCCAGGCTGGCCGAGGACCAAACATCATCATCCAGGAGGTCCGGGAAACAAGCCTGGCGGCCAAAGGCCAGAAGGTGAGCTGAATGCCCCGATCGGGAAACCACCGCATTCTTGGCCTGGATCGCACAAGAGAGGGAGGTCTTCATTTCCACTCGCCCACAGCACTGATGCTCTGCAATGATCGCAGCCCACGCGGTTCCAAGGAGAGCTCCGTGGCGCTCTGCAAAACCA